CAGGATGCAGTTGCCTGCCGCTGGATCGTAATAAGTGTGTAGTGGATAGCTATAAATATATAATATGTCCATCGTGCGAACAGCGCTCTAGTATATGTAATATGTATAGGATATGTATGTATGTATAAGGGATTTAATGTATGTCCTAATAAGGGAGCGAAATGTCCAAAGCGCAGCTATGATGAGATGAGCCTTAGCAGCTCATTTCTTGTGGTACGGTGGCCGAGTGGTCTAAGGCGTAGGATTAAGGCTCCTATCCGCAAGGGCGCAGGTTCAAATCCTGCCCGTATCAGACGACGACACGTCATGCGATGCATGCGCATGTCGTGCACGTGCATGGTATGTCGTACGTATGCAGGTATGTTGATTGCAACATCAATACCATATTCACCTGCTGATTTATTCAGGCAAGGAATTCCTTGGGTAGTTCGAGCTACCTAATGCGGCATATTGGGGAGAAGTCAAACCTGTATTCTAGGCATGTCAATTGCAAGCTGACATCGACAACAGAAGGCAGCAGCAGGCAGGCAACCAGCCATCTGTAGTAGCCATCCCTTATTATTGTAGGCAAATGAGTGATCACATCCATAGATGTGGATGTGATCAGTTGGCCAACTGTGCATGCATATGCCGTGTAGCAGGCCGACAGGAAGGTGTTCAACCGGTTGAGCACCTATACCTAGCTAGGTACCAGGCCTGATCATGATACCAGGCACAGAGGGTGGTCACGCAGAATTGAGGATTTAAGGGTTTGGGCACCCAGTCATCTGCAGCTGGATGTACTAGCCATCCCTTACCCTTAGGTGAATGGGTGATCACATTTTCTTTATTCAGCCGTGAAGCAGGCTGAGAGAAAGGTGTTCAACCACGGAGTATATATGGTCAAGTGGCAAAAGTAAATATCAAGATATGTGGATAGTAAGAGTCAGGAGACATAATAACAAAGGAATTTTGGTGCTAACAGAGTCTTGAACTTCAAACACCAGTATAGTGATATTTAAAGTGTCTGGCCTAAGCACCTTTACCAGGTGGATTATATATGGCTCACCTATTGCTATCTATCTACTCCATTCCTGGAGTCATGGTCTGGTGATATGATGGTCATCCTGTCGCGAGGTGTGTGTGCTTGTGTT